TTTGGAAGAAACAGATTATGAAAATATTTTAATCAAACCAATAATAAAAAACAACACAATTGTCAACACCCAATTTGGGGAAATTTTTTCGAACAAAGAAAATATGTACGGGATCATAAAGAATTGCAAGAGTTATAATAATATAAAAATTTGTCATAAGAATGAAATTGTAAACCTTAGAAATAACACTTGTTTGCCTAGGCTCCTAAAAGGAGAGAAATCGCTGTGTGAATTCAGTAACGCCGACCACATCGACAAAATTGAAGAAATCAGCAGCGGACTCATTATGCTCAACGACTTCAACGGGATTCTGACCTTTCGGCAAAACAACACAAGGAACCTGGCCGGATCTTACCTTATTAACTTCTGGAATGAATCCATCACAATTGACAACAGAGTGTTCACCAACCTAGAAACCACAGTTCTAAAAACGGGCTCCCCAGTAATCCAAATCACACCAGAGGAGACCAAGCGACTTAGAATATTGTCTCTGGAAGCTCTAGAATCCTTACACATCGACAACACCGAGCAGCTGAATAAACTACGCATAGCAGCTCATAGCTCATGGGTCTTCACTGTCATCTGCATTGTGGTAATACTCATCAGTATATTCTACCTCAACAAGAAGAAACAGCAAAAGATAATACTGCAAATGGCTCCTCAACCTCAACTCAAAGCGATACAAGACCTACAGCCACAAAGAAATGACCAACTACATTTCAACATTCCATTCTTTTGATGCTATTTGGAGAAGACGAAACCGCTTGAGGACAAGCGTCAATTAAAGGGGGAGGAGTTAATAATAACAACATTAAAAGTACTCTGGTCAACGCTCCGATTCGGTTACACCAGCTTGCACTGCAGAATCAGCGTCTCGTCGGCTTCCGCCACATTCCAAGCCAGCGCAGTTGCAACATAAAATTCACTGTAAGTCAAATTGTGCTGACATGGCCAAGTTTCTTCAACGTGAGGTTCGCTGCATCGCCGACCGACGGGAAGCGCCGCTGCCAGCGTCACTGAAAGCGTCCACAGCTAGCGTAGGGCTAAACTTAAGTTTGTAAATTCAGTCTTAAATTTGTATCCAAACTAAAAGGTCTTAATTGACCGATGAATAAATATAATTTTTTCCAATAATTAAACATTGTGAAATTTAACTTACATCTGCCCGCAATGCGAAGCAGAATATGCGTAGCTCCGTTATTCGGTTTTTGCTTTACTATCGCTTACGCAGTCGTTGCCTAGCGACAGTAACTGTAACATTTTGGCGTTTTTCCTTTGCAATTAACATTAAATGGTCAAAACGAAAGAAGAAGAGCGAGCTAATGACTTGCAGTTGTTGTTGTTTTTAGAGCATTATTTTTTTTACAATCAAATAACTGTGTTCGATTGCCCAATGTATACATTAATACGAATGTACATACATGCTATATTCATACACAGGCATACATACATATGTACATATGTTTCTCTTTACTTTTTCAACCGTACGTAGAGAACCGCACACATAGACACGAACTGTTGCTTGTTGTGTGTGAGTGTGTGTATGTGATGTCCCCAACTATTTGATATGTGTTGTTGCTGCATAAAGTTATTAATGAAAACACTAATGCCAAATGCACTAAACAAAGAAAAAATTACTTTTAAAAATGTTATATTATATAATTTTCAATTAATTAACATTTCTTGCTCTGTCAGTGCAAGACGAATGTACATACATACATATGTAGATACATATGTACATACATAGATGTGCACATATGTATGGACATTCACTCATTAGTGTCTCACATGTTGCTTTGGCTATTTCAATCGTTTGCACGCAACTACACTAACAGCTGTTTGTATGTGTGTATATGTATACTTAGTTGTCCCCAACTGTTTGATATTTTGTATTGTTTGTTCTGCCTGCTTTTGTAAAATGCATATTTTGAAAATCCTTGAATGCAAAGTTGTAGATTTAGTTACGTAGATTACATTATCCAAATTTTAAATCGATCGGACTAAATTTATAACACAAACTTTTCATTTGAAATAGTGAATAAATATTAAAACCCCAATAATTCAAGCTCCAACACAAATTTCAAGTATCAAGTTTTATAGTGCAAACAAATTTGTATAGTACCATTACCGTAATGCAATTCTTTTTTATAAAATTATTAATATTGTTTTTTTATCGGAGACTTCCGTTGACAATTAACGGTTGATTGTTTACGGAAGGCTCCGTAAGAAAAAAATATTAATAATTTTATAAAAAAGAATTACATTACGGTAATGCTACTAGTTTAAACTCTAAAAAAATGATTTTCTTTCATAAACTTTTAAAATAAAGAATTAATTTTCATTCATTTTTGTTTGTTAAACATATAAAAGTATCAAGTTATAAAGTGTAAACTATTTTTTGTTTTAGCATTTCCGTAATGCAATTCTTTTTATAAAATTATTTTGATTTTTTTCTTGACTCAGCCTTTCGTTGATTGTCAATCCATGACTTAAGCAATAACCCTATTGCACTCTGCTAAGCTAGGTAATCTTTTCAACGATTCGAAATTGCCGAAAGCCTCTTCCATCTCTTTTCGCTCAGGTGGCGACCAACGAATGCGTTGTGTCTTGCCAAAAGGAGATTCTATTTAAAAATTAAATAAGATTAGTAAAATTAATAATAAAAATACAATTCATTCATTCAAAATTTGGTTTATATTTGTATAATGTTATAGTTTTTTGTTCTTACTACTGCGGCGTTTTCGATTTGGCTGCGGCTCAACTATTTCCTCTTTTGACTTTTCAGACTCATTTTCGTCGATGTATTCGGATCCAGAATCCTCAAAAGGTTCAGCTGTAAAATTGAATTCATTTTTTTTTTTTTTTCCAAAGTATGTTAGCTGACCCCCCCTCACACACCTTGTGGCTACTTTCCATATGGTTCATATATGACTTATAGTATATCTTTCAGGGCACGGAGATGAAACTGTAAAGGAGTCTCAGGTCTTTTCGACGAATAATGATAATCAATAATCAATGGCCAAGAGCTTGATCGGGTCCCTAAGTGATATACTATATATAACATACATGTACCCAGTCACACACATACACAATTCAATTATCTAAAAATTTCAATATTGTACCTTCATTTTCAATGTCTTATGCACAATTATCTTTCTTATAAAGTTCACCTGCTAAAAAAAAAATTTTTTAATTCAATTAGGATTTTATTTTATTCGCCTAATGAGAATATATAAGTTAGAGTAATATATGTGACGTATTGTGCCTAATTTTGCTAAACATAGAAACTTACCGGGCTTTGGGTTCTTATTATTCCGTTCGGGGCTATTCCCAATGGCTGCCATTAACATTTGGGACACTTCTGTAATTTCCGCAATTGTAGCGGGGACACGGTAAATATTTTTATGTATTTCTTTATGATGGCCCATAAAATTCGCGAGTCGGTCTATCTGAATATCTTCAACATTTAGCATAGAAGTGTATGTTGCTAAATGTTTGCGAAGCATTGTGCCCCTCAAGGCTTCTGGGCAGCTGGCACCACATTCATAAGCAAATTGTTTTAAAATTGGGCAAGCACGAATGTACTCTTTCCCAAGTGATTTCGGGCTTGCAACGCTGAATATGTAACAATTTTTTTCATCGACACCAGCTTCGCTGCGGTGTTTGAGGATCATATCGATACAAAAACAATCAAAGGGAGTAAGAAGTACTGACACTGTTCTATTTAATTTTCCTCGAAGAGTCAACCTTTTGTATTGCATTGCAATTTGTTTCGTTTTAGCTGTCAGTTTATTTAGAACATCTTTGTCTATATTTTCTTCCATTGCATGAGCGGTGTTATAATTTTCAATGCTAATTCATTCTATTTCTCCAGCCCGACGACGGTTAAATATTTGGAGACTTATTAATGTGCTTCGTATCAAACTATTCCACGCTTCAAAATCGAATTTCTTATTCAAAACATTCAGCGCATCGGCGGATTTTTTGTTAACAAAATCAAAGAGTTTTTTAATATCCTCTTTCAAAGGTAAAATTGTTTTTACAGCTCGACGTTTTTTGGCTTGGTCCTCGATTGCTTTTTTGTTTATGTTTACAGGTATTTTGGTTTCCCATAAGACAATAAAATCATTTACTAATTTTTTATTTATCTCATCTTGATTTATTATACATTGTGTCAATAATATGTTTGCACATTTTTTTATTAATGAACTTAGACTTGTAGCAACCGATGGGGTTTTAAAAAGCAAAAGTTCGTTATCCCACTGGGAAACAGTTCGAATGCTAGACATCATAAGTTCATGATGTTTGGGATGAATGGCATCCTTTAACTCCTTTATTTGGCCTTGCGACTGTTGTTTTAATTCTATTACCAATCTACTTAATACTCTTAAATGTTGTAATGCATTATACTTCATGCATTCTGCATTTCCTAATAATACGATCAAATGGTCATATAATAAATTTCTCGTTATATCATCGTCTTTTAAAACTGGAACAACTTTTCGACGCAATATGTCATTTGCAGCTTTATGCATATAGCCAGTTTTGCTGCGTCCATCCCTTAACATGTTTTTCGAACCATTAGGATGAAAAACACGGCATTTGCGAATATGGCAACGAATTGTCGATTTCCGAAAGAAGCCAAGACAACCTTTACAACTTATTAAATCATGTGGACCATTACGAGAATTAATTCGGTTTTGGCGAGGTGCTATTATAATACTTTCGTTATATATTTGATCGGTGTTGTGGATAAAATCTCCCTTTTTCCGAATAGAATCAATTAGAATTTTTCGATTGGGATCGTTAGCTGAAAGAACCATAAATTTCTAAACATCTGGTTCATTCATATGAACGTTTTGTAAGTGTCGAGCAAATTTTGTTTGCAATTTTTTGCAGAACATACAAAAGTGTCTTTTGCTCTTTGTTTGTGTTTTTGCTGTAGGTATTTCAACATCTCTAAGATCAAAAAGAGGTACTTGAGCTTCATATGAAAATGACTCGTTTATTGTTAATGATGAGTTGATGCCATCGTATGTTGCAGATTCTGGCCAATTAGATCCGAGTGATTCCAAAGTGTCGGTATAGCCACTAACTGCTTTTGAACTAATTTCTGAATGTTCTGTAGAATCTATTAAAAATGATTATTTAGCTTTCTAAATTAACATTTTAAAATTAACGTATCTTATAAAACTATAAAAAAACAGGCTATAAACACTCTGTTCACTTATTACGAAAGAAATATTTCGTAGACGCACGGGGTATTTTAAGGATTAGTGACATTTTTATACTCTATACATGAAATGAAAAATGCGAGTACTTATTAGGTTTGTGCAAAGTGAAAATGTAACATGCAGAAGATGACAGACCCTACAAATATATATTATTGATGATCAGCGTGACGAGATTAGTCCATTGAGTCATGTCTGCCCGTCCAAATGAACAACTGGATTTCAAAGATATTAAGAGCTAGAGAAAATTTGCGCTATGTTTATTTTTTTTTATTTTATGACTAGCAGGTATTGCCCGTCTTAACCCGGCTCAATATGTTTCCAATTGTATTTATTTTGTGTGTGCATAACCTGTTTTCACCTTAAAGGTTACCAGTAGGAAGGCATTTAAGGTATTTAAATGAACATTTTCTGTTCTTGACAAAAAATTGTTCAGTAGTCCGTTACATTTTTGTTCTTGACAAACTATTTTGTTAAACGAACATGACCACTATAACTAATATTTTTTAAAGCTCGTTTTCCCCCCGTTGGAGCTAGAATTTTCCAAAAGCCTTTCTTAGTGTGCTCCTACACTATGATGGATACTATGAAACGATACTTGAGTCCAAATTTAAATTCACATTTGAGTCTTTTCGTGCCATATTGAGTCAACACGGTCACACACAAACTCGGAATATGAAACACGGCACTCGTGTCAATGCCGTGCAGCGATGAGCCACGATCAAAAAGCACTGACAATTCTCATCTCAATTTGCTAGAGTAAAACTTTCGATAGTTGAAGCCACCGATACCATCAAAATAACGAAGTTTGAAGGCAATAAGCAGAATATTTAAATAACAAAATCTAATTATTTATTGACATCAATAAGAACAAATCATATACATACATACATCTGCCCGCAATGTGAAGCAGAATATGCGTAGCTCCGTTATTCGGTTTTTGCTTTACTATCGCTTACGCAGTCGTTGCCTAGCGACAGTAACTGTAACATTTTGGCGTTTTTCCTTTGCAATTAACATTAAATGGTCAAAACGAAAGAAGAAGAGCGAGCTAATGACTTGCAGTTGTTGTTGTTTTTAGAGCATTATTTTTTTTACAATCAAATAACTGTGTTCGATTGCCCAATGTATACATTAATACGAATGTACATACATGCTATATTCATACACAGGCATACATACATATGTACATATGTTTCTCTTTACTTTTTCAACCGTACGTAGAGAACCGCACACATAGACACGAACTGTTGCTTGTTGTGTGTGAGTGTGTGTATGTGATGTCCCCAACTATTTGATATGTGTTGTTGCTGCATAAAGTTATTAATGAAAACACTAATGCCAAATGCACTAAACAAAGAAAAAATTACTTTTAAAAATGTTATCTCTATATATATAAAACAGTTTGTCCTGACTGACTGACTGATTGGCAATCAACGCACAGCCCAAACGGTAAGAGCTAGGAAGCTGAAATTTGGACACAAGATCCCTCTTATAGTGAAAGTGAGCACTAAGAAGGGGTTTCGGAAAATTCGAGCTCCAAAGGGGGGAAAACGAGGTCCAACGTTTGTATGAAAAATCTACAACTTAGTTTGTATACTCTCACAAAGAATACAAAAAAAACTGTGTACTTGGATTTTCAATATTTTTCCTGCGGCCTGAATAATAATGATTTTCCGGTGGAAAATTCGGTAAACGAAAAGCTATGTGCAATCAACGCACAGCCCAAACGGTAAGAGCTAAGAGGCTGAAAATTGGACACATGTTGTCTTCAGTGGTGTAGGTGAGCACTAAGAAGCGGTTTTGGAAAATTCGAACGCCAAAGGGGGGAAAACGGGCTCCAACGTTTGTATCAAAAATCTACAATTTTCATCCAATTAACTTCAAACTTAGTTTGTATACTCTCAAGAAGAATACAAGAAGAACTGTATACTTGGTTTTTCACCATTTTTCCTGGGGCATGAAAAAAGGGGGGTTTTCCGTGGAAAAATTGAAACACATCAACACCCCACAGCCCAAACGGTAAAAGCTAGGAAACTGAAATTTGGGCTCAAGTATCCTATCATGGTGTAGATGCGCACTAAGAAGGGATTTTGAAAAATTCAAGCTCCAAAGGGGGGAAAAGTAGCTCCAAAGTTTGTTTGAAAATTCTGCATTTTTGAATCGATCAACTTTAAATTTAGGTTTTATAATCTATAAAAGAATACAAACAAAACTGCATACTCGGTTTTTCAAAATTTGTGTTGGAGATTTTTAATATTATTTCTTTATTTTATGGGGTTTTAATATTTATTCATTTTTTCAAATGAAAAGTTTGTGTTATAAATTTTGTCAGATCGATTTCAAATTTGGGTAATATAATCTACGTAACTAAAATTACAACTTTGCATTTAACGATTTTTAAAATATGCATTTTACAAATGCAGGTAGCACAAACAATACAAAATATCAAACAGTTGGGGACAACTAAGTATACATACATACACACACACATACATACATACAAGCAGCTGTTCGTGTAGTTGCGTGTAAACGGTTGAAGTAGCCAAAGCAAAATGTAAGACACTAATGTGTGAATGTTCATTTGTACACATGTATGTACATACATACATACATATGTATGTACAAAAGTACATTCGTCTTGCACTGACAGGGCAAGAAATGTTAATTAATTAAAAATTATTAACATTATAACATAAACATTTTTATGCTATTTTTTCTTTGTTTAGTACATTTGGCATAAGGGGTTTTTAGGACAACGGACTACAAGGGCGTACGCAGGTTGGGCAGGGGGGACATTTCTCCCCTTAGAAAGAATTTCGCATTATGAATTACGCCAGCACCATATGTATTACATACGTCTGTATGTATAGCATGTACATATGTATGTATGTACATCAATAAGTATGTATGTACGTTCATACATTCCTATATACATATATAGGTTTGTATGTACAAGTATGCAGTGGGCTATCGAACACTGTTGTTTAATTGTAAAAAATAGTTTTCTATGGTTTCAAATCAAAATTTTTAAAACAACAACAACAACTTCAAGTTATTGGCTCGCAAATCTTCTTTCGTTTTGATCATTTACGCCTGTTCATTACATACGCAAAATGCCAAAAGTTTACAGTTACAGTACACATACAAATAAATTTGTATGTATGTATGTGTACAGTGTACAATCGAATACAGTATTATAATCAATAACTCTCAAACGATGTTTTTCGATGTATTTGTATTCGACATGTATTACGATATATCAACACAAGTATCGATATTTTCGATATATCGCATTTAATTTTATTATTGGGGTTTTAATATTTATTCACTTTTTCAAATGAATAGTTTGTGTTATAAATTTTGTCCGATCGATTTCAAATTTGGGTAATGTAATCAACATAACTATATCAACAAATTGGCATTCAACGATTAAAATATAGCAATATGTTTTTTACTTGCCATATATCAAATATCAAATAGTTGGGAACAGTTCGAGTCTATGTGTGCCCATGCATACATACATACATATGTACAAGCATATGTATCTATGCCTGTATATGTATGAAGCATGTAAATACAAAACAACAACAACAACTTCAAGTTGTTGGCTCGCTCATCTTCTTTCGTTTTGACCATTTAATGTTAATTGCAAAGGCAAAACGCCAAAAGTTTACAGTTACCGTCGCTAAGCAACGACTGCGTATGCGATAGTAAAGCAGAAACCGAATAACGGACCTACGCATATTCTGCTTCGCATTGCGGGCAGATTTATGTATGTATATGATTTGTTCTTATCGATCTCAATAAATAATTAGATTTTATTATTTAAATATTCTGCTTATTGCATTCAAACTTCGATATTTTGATGGTATCGGTGGCTTCAACTATCGAAAGTTTTACTCTAGCAAATTGAGATGAGAATTGTCAGTGTTTTTTGATCGTGGCTCATCGCTGCACGGCATTGACACGAGTGCCGTGTTCATATTCCGAGTTTGTGCGTGACCGTATTGACTCAAATGTGAATTTAAAATTAGGATATACCCTTATAATTATTCCCCTTTTTTGCACATAGTCTATCTTAAAACGTTGCGTTATCTCTATATATAAAACAGTTTGTCCTGACTAATTGGTGATCAACGCACAGCCCAAACGGTAAAAGATGAAATTTGGACTCAAGTATCCTTTCATAGTATCCATCATAGTGTAGGAGCACACTAAGAAAGGCTTTTGGAAAATTCTAACTCCAAAGGGGGGAGGTTTAAAAAAATATTAGTTATAGTGGTCATGTTCGTTTAAAGAAATAGTTTGGCAAGAACAAAAATGTAACGGACTACTGAACAATTTTTTGTCAAGAACAGAAAATGTTCATTTAAATACCTTAAATGCCTTCCTACTGGTAACTTATAAGGTGAAAACATATGGGTAGGTTATGCACACACAAAATAAATACAATTGGAAACATTATATTGAGCCGGGTTAAGACGGGCAATACCTGCTAGTATTATATAATTTTCAATTAATTAACATTTCTTGCTCTGTCAGTGCAAGACGAATGTACATACATACATATGTAGATACATATGTACATACATAGATGTGCACATATGTATGGACATTCACACATTAGTGTCTCACATGTTGCTTTGGCTATTTCAATCGTTTGCACGCAACTACACGAACAGTTGTTTGTATGTGTGTATATGTATACTTAGTTGTCCCCAACTGTTTGATATTTTGTATTGTTTGTTCTGCCTGCTTTTGTAAAATGCATATTTTGAAAATCCTTGAATGCAAAGTTGTAGATTTAGTTACGTAGATTACATTATCCAAATTTTAAATCGATCGGACTAAATTTATAACACAAACTTTTCATTTGAAATAGTGAATAAATATTAAAACCCCAATAATTCAAGCTCCAACACAAATTTCAAGTATCAAGTTTTATAGTGCAAACAAATTTGTATAGTACCATTACCGTAATGCAATTCTTTTTTATAAAATTATTAATATTGTTTTTTTATCGGAGACTTCCGTTGACAATTAACGGTTGATTGTACACGGAAGGCTCCGTAAGAAAAAAATATTAATAATTTTATAAAAAAGAATTACATTACGGTAATGCTACTAGTTTAAACTCTAAAAAAATGATTTTCTTTCATAAACTTTTAAAATAAAGAATTAATTTTCATTCATTTTTGTTTGTTAAACATATAAAAGTATCAAGTTATAAAGTGTAAACTAATTTTCCCCCCTTTGGAGCTCGAGTTTTCCAAAATCCCTTCTTAGTGGGGACCTAGACTATGAAAGGATACTTGAGTCCAAATTTCACCTTCCTAGCCTTTACCGTTTGGGCTGTGCGTTGATCACCAATCATTCAGTCAGTCAGTCAGGACAAACTGTTATATATATATAGATTTATCTATTAACTTACTCAGAATGGGGTCGAAGCCATCTGCTCCAATCGCCTCTAAAAGTGGAAAAATTTAATTAAAAATTAGTAACACAGTCGACTTTATAATAATCGAAATATCTTACCAAAATCTTTTTGAATGTTTTCTTTGTTAACGCCACCATCAGAGGTTTGGCCCTCTGAAATTTAAATTCCCTTTAGTACTGCCAATTTCATGAAATATTTGCTTACAGCAATATTACTCAAGTAATTTACTTACCTAATTCCTTATAAAGTTCCACTTCATTATTATTTACTTCACTGCTGTAAGACAATTTTTGTTTAACTAAAATAGGAGATATATAAATTAAAATATTAGTATTACATCTAACTTTATTTATAATAATCAAGATACCTTACCAGAATCTTTTTGAATGTTTTCTTTGTTAACGCTACCATCAGAGGTTTTGCTCTTGGCCTCTAAAATGGAAAAATTTAATTAAAAATTAGTTTTTGTTTGCCACTCTTTTATATCGGTGAAAAAAATTTTATACTTACTGTATAACGCCTCATTCATCTTTTTGCATAGGCCTTCGAGAAGTTCTTTTGATTCTACATAAACGTAAATATGTACATACGAATGTATATAAGTATGTGTGCATGTTAGTATGACCAAATTTACGATGCAACTTACCACTGGAATTAATAATTTCTGCTTCAAAAGTAGCTCCATTTATTTTTGTTAAACAAATGTTTTTTGATATTATTTTACATTTCTTTTTCTTAAAAACGTACAACTTTCCGCACTTTATTAAGTAAAACATTTTTAGTTCCGAAGAAGGTAACACAACCGATTTTTATGACGTTCACTTGCTTACTGATCATCAAACAATGCAGAGAAGGCAGAGCTGACAATTCTAACGGTTCTTTTATTCTTTACTATTCATTCAAGGCCATTCCAGTGCAGTGCACACTGGTACGAATGTACAGTATGTCAACAAATTGTTTGCAATAGATATATTGTATAATATAAAGGAGACTTGCATCTTTTTTTAATTTGCTAATTACATTTTAAGATAATATAATTTAAGATTGATTCAAATAAAAAACTTACTTATGCTTACATTAGCATTTTTGGCGACAATTATTGTCATCAATGATCATTTGCACGAATAATTATAATTGTAAAAGTTTATTCACGAGTAATTTATACGCATATTAATATTAAAACAAGGAAGAACGCTACAGTCGAGCAAGGCCGACAGTAAAATACCCTGTTCCCAGACTAAGTTCCGGCACCAAGTTATACATACACATATATGAGAAGCAAATTCCAAATTCCAAGAATTACGGGAGTTAGAGAAAATCGCATTTGCTTGGGAGAGGGGGGAGGGAGGGACATTCCAAAATATACATTTTCTGCGTATTCACACAAGGCATCTGGGACTAAAATTTGGTGTTCCTAGGTCTTATAGTCTCCGAGATATAGGCGATTATACGAATGGAAAATCGGGAAAACCCCCATAGGGGGGAAGTGGGGGGAAAATCAAAAAAATAAAACAAACTCGTATAGAATACACACATAAGGCATCTTTGTGCAATTTGGTGTGTCTAGCTCTTATAGTCTCTGAGATCTAGGTAATCATACGGACGGACGGACGGACAGACGGACAGACAGACAGACAGGGCTAAATCGATTCGTCTTGTCATGCTGATCAAGAATATATATACTTTGTGGGGTCTACCACGCCTCCTTCTGCCTGTTACATTTTTCAGCTCCCGCAAACCTAATATACTCTTGTACATTTAAATAATTAATTAAATTAAATATAAAATATTCCATACATAAATTTACATTTACATTACATCATATGTGTGCATTAAATAATTATGTGAAATCAGCAACAAATACAGCTGCGGACAGAGCTTAGGCTTGGTTATATGGCTATAACTTTCTTTGTAATCAACCTATTGTAATGAAACTTGATATACAGATATATAATCACTAATTGGATGTGACTACCAAATCTATCAATTCAAATTCAAATGAATTGATCAGGATGACAAGGCGAGTCGATATAGCCATGTCCGTCTGTCTGTCTGTATAAACGCAAGGATCTCAGAAAGTATAAGAGCTAGAATAACAAAACTTGGTATCTAGATTCTCCTGAGCCTGAGAAAGGACGAGTTTGTTCATTTTTTCTGATCCCCCACACCCACTTTATTCACGATTTTCTATAACTCCCGTAATTCTTGGAATTTTGAACTAAAATTTGGTCACATTAAGTTTGCGATATATATATCCGTTACCAACTTTCATTATGATAGGTTGATCAGAAAAAAAGTTATAGCCATATAACCAGGCCCAATGCACACATACACACATATGTATGTACAAGTACACAAACACACGATTCATGATGTAAATATATGTATAGAATATGTTATATTTAATTTAGTTAATTAATTTAAAGCATCTAGATTTAACATTTTTTAAGTTTGAAAGTCTTGGTGAAAACCAAGGAGGTTTTGATGACGCAGACGAAATGACATCAAAAAGAGCATTAATAGTGTCATAGAAAAACTTTACGGCTATGTTGATGTCAACAGCACTATACAAATAGGACCAATTAGTTGCTGCAATAAGTTCGTTTAGCAAAAAAAAATTTCCTTTGCGAAAGCACAAACTAGTATTTTTGGGAATAGGTGCTGGAGTAGAGGTAGGGTTTGAAATTGAGAGGGAAATTTGCAAAGTAGGGTGGTAAGAATCTTCAGGCAGTATAAGGGGAGAAGACCTACAGATAACTGTACTAGCAGGGCAGCATTCTGCTTAAGTGATTAGGTATAGAATTAACTTGGAACAATGAAAGGTCAAACAAGCAGTCTAAACAGGCATGCTCTGCCGAGGGTACCAAATAATTAAACTGATTGAAGAATGACCATTCAATGTTAGGCAAATTAAAATCACCTACCACAACGAACGCGTCACTGTCACTTAGGAGATTAGAGATTCCTTTTATACAGGTTATATGTTCCATATAGACCTGTATATTAGAAGAGGGAGGTATATAAGAACAAGAGATGTATAGTGCAAAAGACGGAAAAGATACTCTTATAGCAACAAATTCAACATTATTCGGTACATTTACATCAATTATTTCCGACCGATAGGAGGAATTGACTGCAATCAGTACGCCTCCGCCACGACGAGCCGGACGATCTCGTCGAAAGATACAAAAATTATCTGATAATATTTCGTTATCAGAAATCGTGGGATTTAACCACGTCTCTGAGAACGCAATAATATCAGATTCAAACGAAAAACTACTAAGAAATAAACTACTGAGCTTGGACACAATACCCCTAACATTCTGATATAGAATGTTTAACGAAAGTGGATGAGCTCCTAGTTTTTTGAAGTCGAGCTTGAGGTTGGCTGCAAAGGTTGGCCAGCAGACTGTAAGTTGACCGGCAAAGAGCGAGCTCGTTTTTTCTGCCTAAACTCATGTACAATCATTTGTGGCGGCCAAAATTTTGGGTCACAAATAGTTGTAAATGATTCAGGCGGTACACTTATTTTGAACGAGGCTATTTCTCGAGGCTCGGAAAAGCTAAACTTAGAAATAGATACAGCAGCTGTCGACTTACTTGCTATATAGGCAGCGATAGCCTCACAAGAAGTATCAGGGGACAACCGAGACACGAAAACTTGCTTTCTAGGAGCTACCACTGTAAGAGACGGGGGCAGAGGAAGGGCTGGGGCTGTCGCACATTCTACAGCTCCTGAAGAAACTATAGGAGGTGGTGCCGACGTTTTAGAAGAAGCCCTTGTTCTTACAGGCTTAGATATATTAGGCACAGGAGGAACTACCAACGGGGCCAACATAACATGAGCCGGCGAAGGCAGAGGGGAAATTTCAAATAAATTTCCAGGCGACGTAGACAATGAAATTGCCGGCGACATATCTACATTTAATAGCGAGGGAATCGGAGAAGCTATCTGAGCCGAGCTAGGTGGCACCTCTAAGAATTGAGGTTCAAGCCTACGCTTGGGAGGAGAATCGAACTTATATTTACTAAGCAAGTCGGTCCCTATGTCAAACTCACTTGAGAGTTGCTTAGTAATTCTATACAAGTTCAAAAATTTATTTCTCACATTGTCATACATACGAGAGAAATTAAATTGTATGTCTATGCAAACAGGGCATGACCATTTCAAACCAACACAACCTTTTTTTGGCGAGTAAATTTTATCAAGGTCACGAACACTTAGTCCAGCACACTTAATATGCATACAATTCTCGCACAACCAACAACTTACAAATCGTTGTTGTTCGGAATCAATTGCATCCTTAATTGTGCATGACTTATTGCAGCACGACATTATGACACGAGCAAGTAGATGGTTAAAAATGTAAGTAAATGCAAGAGCACACAGAAATGAAATTACGGTAAATGAACAAGAATATACAAGAATACACTCACTGAGCGGCGATATATGTGGACTCTTATATTAATAAGCGCGAAGAGAGCAAGAGCAAAAAATAACACAAAATGCCAAAAACAAATTATGGACAGCGAAGAAACGCACAAACCTTTAACACAGCTGCCGGGCGCCAAAGCAAAACAGGCAAAAGAAATGCACAAACAATGAATACTGAGATGACGCTGTTTATATTAAATCACATTAATTTACCCAAACAAATGAACGCAATAGATGCACAACTTCTTGCACTAAGCACAGTATTAATACTCTAGAAATTGAGCACAATTTAATGCTTAAATTCAAGGAGTAAACACGAAAAATTAAATAAATTTGCGGAGCACAGATAAAACACGTCGATTACACTCAACAGAATCTCTCTCTCTCTATTAGTAAATGGTTTCATAAAATATTTAATTGCCATCGTAGTCTTTACTTGATTACGAGTAATATAAGTCTGTTGCGTGTTAGTGTTGTGTTCTTTTAAAACAAAGTATTGATAAATCTGTTTTAAAATAGTAGATAATTTCATTGCGTAAGTGGGTGACGTGGAGCCTGTAATGAAATATATTAGTGAATGGTTTCATAATAATATTTTAATCGTCTTTGCTTTACTTAATTATGTGTGGTTTGTAGTAAGTGATGTTTTGGATCGATTGCCTTTAAATATTTGTGCAGTATACAACAGGTACAGATAGCAATCAAAAATG